GAGGCCTTTACTGGGGCTGAGTTAGCTGCAGATGTGACTGGAACACAGGTAAACATCAGTGAAACCAAGACAGGTACAGTGACGACCTGTAGGTTCAGCCACTGGGACAGCACTGCCAGGGCCCGCCTGCCTGCTGGTTCTAAAGGGATCTGGATCGCCAGGGTCCCAATCACAGGAGCCTTGATTAAGGCTATTTAAATAGCAAGCAAAGCAAGGAAGGGGCCACACTTAGAAAACAATATATGAAGAATTTATAACAATGGAAAACATGAAGCCTTAGAAATATAGTAGGTTCAATAAAGGGACAAACACACACACACACACACACACACACACACACACACACACACACATGAAAACAGAGAAAGGATCAATAAACACCTGGGAAATTCAACTTGCCCAAAACAAAAGAAATGTGAATGTAGATGAAGGAGGATAGAGTGACCATGCCCTTTAGAATCTGCAGAGGGAAACAGGCCCACAGGGGAGGTGATGAACTTTCCTTGGAAGCCTTCATCTTGTGCTGGCAGACTGCTAGACACTCTCCATGCTCTTTCCTGGTTCGAGGGCTCAGAAATACGATTCACAGCAGTCAAGTGCCGAGGCTGTGTTTGGGAAGGCACAAGGTTAGCCCAGTAGGTCAGCCTGGCTGGCTAGGAAGCTGAGGCCCAGGAGATGAGGGTCCACCATGGGAAAGCACAGTTCATGAGCCATCTTCCCTCCAGCCTAGGTTTCTTTTGACAGGCCACATGCTTACGTCTCTCAAACAGCCAACATCCTCCTGAATGTTTAGTCTTTTGTCTGCTTCCTCAAGTGAGCCCTCCTTCTCCCTGTTCAACAGTAATCTCCGGTGTGGGAAGCAGTAAGGAGTTCCCGTGAGCAATGAAAACCTGAAGTACCTTAGAGTCCAGCAATCCCACCCTGAGGACATCTGCACTCCAGCTTTTTTATAGCTCTGTTCACAGCTGCCAGGTGATGAAGAGCAAACATCACCACCCCTGTGTCCAGAGCTGATGAATACATAAGGAAATAGGCGGCCAGAAAAGGGTCAACGTGGGTCAGGGATGGAGCTCAGTTTGTAGAGTTCTTGCCTGCCATGCATACAGCACTGGATTGGCTCCTCTGAGCTACATGCAACTGGGCCTGTTAATAGACTGAGGAATAGATCCACATACAGTACAGGTCAAGGCAACTTCTCTCTCTCCCATCACTTCTTCTTGTAAAGTGATAAGGGAAAGGTGTGAGAGGGCAGATAAGGACATTTTCATGTCCAACACTATAGTGACACTATATAAACTCCATGCTACAAAAAAGAATTCCCACATCCGTGTTATTCAAAATGTAGCATGTGCAGGCCAGGACAGCTCTGCGTTACCTCTCCGGCCCAGGTGGGACTTGGGCACTGCAGAATTGGCACTAAGGGGCACTAACTAGACTAAACCAGGTGTCCAGAAATATGACGACCAGGGCAAAGTACAAGGGGGAGAAAGAGAGGCAGAGGCATCACAGACCTCAGGCGTGTGGCTGACCGGCTGACCGGCTGACCAGAAGAGCAATACTCTAGAAGATGATACTCTGCCTGCCTTCTTCCCTATAAAGCCTGCTGGCAGAGGCTCTCTGGGTGGCTCTGCAGAAAAAGGAACTTGCCACCAAGCAGGGTGACCTGAGCTTGATACTCAGAATCCACGTTGTGAAATAAGACAACTGACTACAAGTTGTACACACACACACACACACACAGTCACAGAGACAGAGATACACACAGAGAGAAAGAACAACACACATACAATACATGAAAGTAACAAAAAAATTTTTAAAAACACTGCTGGGTGACCATGTGCTGCTCAGAGGGCCTTTTTTATTCACCTTTCACCTTCTCAGAACTCTGAATAAACTGTGAATAAAGTCCATCTTAGAGGATCAATGCTTGTTCCTGCTCCTGGCGTTTGTGTTGACAGGTACCATGGTTCTAGTATTAGTTACATATTATGGTGATGTCTGGGATGATTCTGGGACTTTCTCTATTTCAGCTCCTGAGGAAACTCTCCAAAGGACTACATACTTTCACCTGAAGCACTCTGCCTTCCCAGCTCCCATACTCGGTCACGCCCCCTCAACAGACTGCATCATTGCACCTTTTGCATTTGGGCCTGGGAACAGACAGTTTGATTTCTGGCTTAAACACAGTTCCATCTTGTTCCTGTTTTGTGTTTTCCACCTCTGGTTCATGACTGCTGGCCTGTGGTTTAAAGGTTCTGTTTGTTTTACTGCAGATCTCTGTGGAATTCATGACGTACTTCCATTCCTGGCAATGGATCTTTGGAGAATGTCCTAGCAAAGTGGTCTATGGTTTTGACCCTACGAAGAAGAAAAGAAAAAGGTGCATTTTTGCAATAGTTTGGCTACTCTATGTTTTGAGTTATGGGGAAGTGGCCACAAAGATGAATCTCTCTGTTGCATTATTTTCAACTAGAGTTGTTCTGCAAAGCACTGGGGAAGTAGGGAAAGATTCACCTCAGGTTTATGTCATAAGCTTCATCCTGCATCTTGTCCTTTCATTAATCAAGCTCCAGGAGATGCAGATCTTTCTCTCTTCTACTGAGGCTGCACTGTGAAAGGATTTAAACACAGGAAGGCACCAAAGGGCTGACACGTGGAGAGAGATTTCTGCATGATTTCCATATGAAATGTACACGGATTTTGTCACCACTGAGCTTGGCTATTTTTGCTTTAAGATGAAGCTATCACTAAATGAACTTGTTGCTAATGGGCAATGCGTTGAGACTAGCTACTTTAATATCTAATTTTGTGTGCCTGTGTATTATAAAGTCATGAAGAGAACATCTTGTTCACAAGAAGGTAATATACTACGGTCTCTGTGTTCATGGAATCATTAGAATCAATAATCATGTTTGGAATAGAAAATATTCTTATGATATATGTAATAATAGTGATACAGAAATAAATCTGATAGATGTCACAATATTATTTGAAGCTTTGTTCATGTTTTATGGTTTTCACATATTTTATGGTTTGTTTTTTGAGGCAGGGTTTCTCTGTGTAGCCCTGGCTGTTTTGAAACTAGCTCTGTAGACCAGGCTGACCTTGAACTCAGAGCTCCACCCGCGTCTACCTCCCCAGTGCTGGGATTAAATTCACGTCCCACCACTGCATGCCTTACTTGGTTTTTAAAATAAACACTGAGTGCTTTGTGTTTAGACTGCCATTCTTGGCCCTGACAGTCTCCTATCCAGCCCGCAGTACTGGAAAGTCCACATTTCTTTCCCTTTCTACCTGCTAGAAAAGCAACCATTGCACTCCCTCTGTTCTTCAGGGGGCTGCCCGACGCCTTTTCTATAAAAACCTGGAACGACAGGATTTGCATGGAAAGATTTTCAGCTCTGTGTATAGTTTCTCCCCCGCTTTTTCTTGCTAACTTCACTATTCAAGGTCACTGGAAGCTTTGTTATCTTGGTCAGCTCTTTCTGGAGTCTAGAATTCCATCTCTCAGGCTCTTATGTAACCAAGGACAAAAATGTATAAAAGAACCTTTTTCAGGTTCTGGCTATCACAAACAATGCTGCTATGAACATCAAGGAACTCAGGACCGCGAGGGGTGCACCCACACACTGAGATAATGGGGATGTTCTACTGGGAACTCACCAAGACCAGCTGGCCTGGGTCTGGAAAAGCCTGGGATAAAACCAGACTCTCTGAACATAGCGGACAATGAGGACTACTGAGAACTCAAGAACAATGGCAATGGGTTTCTTATCCTACTGCACGCACTGGCTTCGTGGGAGCCTAGGCAGTTTGGATGCTCAACTTACTAAACCTGGATGGAGGTGGGGGTTCCTTGGACTTCCCACAGGACAGGGAACCCTGATTGCTTTTCGGGCTGGGGGGGACTTAATTGGGGGAGGGGGAGGGAAATGGGAGGCGGTGGCGGGGAAGAGACAGAAATCTTTAATAAATAAATAAATTAAAAAAAAAGAAATATGCAAAAAAAAAGAACCTTTTTTTTTAGAAGTACAGGTGGCAATGAAGTCTGTATAGATTCAATTCTCCTACTACTGGTGAATTTGTTAGGTTGCTTACAACAAGAATTGGTTTTAAAAATCTATGTTTACTCAAGATAGTTATGTTTTCTCCTGTTTGTCAAGCTTTCCATTACTTAGGGAACCAAGTCTCAACAAGGTCCGAGTTTCATTTAAATACTGATGTTAGGGCTGGAGAGATGGCTCAGTGGTTAAGAGCATTGCCTGCTCTTACAAAGGTCCTGAGTTCAATTCCCAGCAACCACATGGTGGCTCACAACCATCTCTAATGAGGTCTGGTGCCCTCTTCTGGCCTGTAGACATACACACAGACAGAATATTGTATACATAATAAATAAATATTAAAAAAAATACTGATGTTAGAGACTTCTAAGTGAGTACTCTATAGACAACTGTTCATGTAGGGTGACTCTAGTGCACTGTATATCCACAGATAGAAAAATGGAGATGTGTAGACTCTGGACTATGAAAACACACAGGCAAAGGTCAGGAAAACATTTAACCAAGCTGGTGTCCTTGAGAAACCAGGATGATCTGTAATACTAACCTTTTCAGGAAGAGGTTCATCTTCCTAACTCTAGCACGACTATAATCTTTAAGTCAGTGGTTTTCAACCTGTGGATGGCGACCCCTTTGGAGTTGAACATCCATTTCAGGGTCACCTAAGACCATGGGAAAACACAGATATTTACATTTTGATTCATAACAGCAGCAAAATTACAGTTATAAAGTAACAACAAAATAATTTTATGCTTGGGGGGTCACTACAACATGCAGAATGGTATTAAGGGGTCACAACATTAGGAAGGTTAAGAACTACTGGTCTACCCACATGAAGGACGAAGTCAGTGAACAATGTCAACTCTGCTCAGCCTCCTGAAATCCTTTCTGAGGACAAAGAACAAACGAGCAATGATAACACATCCATTCAGTGTTATTCATATAACTGCATTTAATCCCCTTAAAAGTCCGTAAAAAGGGTCAGCACTTATTTTTACTCAGGTACAAGTGGAAAATTTACATGAAGCAAAAACCAGCCAAGAAACTGACCAAAGTCAAGTCCCCAGGACATGTACAACAGCTCTGCAGAGTCTCCACAGGCTGTACCCCTGCCGCAGCCTAAACTGCACGCCACATGGCTGAAGCTTGCTCAGACTGAACACCAGAGAGAGATGCGGGCTGGCCTGGCAGCAAGCACACTGGGGCGTTCCCAGCCCGCAGACCAGAATATGCCACGCAGCACTTAGCACCAGAAAAGAACCAGAAAGAATAACAGTGCAGGCAAACGAAGACCAGAGCCTGGCCCACTGCATCAGTTCCGAACAGTGTCAGCAAGTAGGTGCAGGGTGGCCGCCACAGCTGGGGTCTCCAGACAGGAAGCCCATGTCCTCTGACAACAGGAGGAACACAGCATGGTGCTGGCAGGACAGAGGCAGGATGGCCCCGAAGCTGCCATTTCACAGTGCTCTGGGAAGGCTCCCTAGCCACAGCCACTCTTTCACAGAGGCTTTGGATGGACTCTTCCTGTCCCTTGTTCCCTCCACTGCAGTTGGAGAGGAGCCCTTTGCTGACTCCACACTCCTGTATCTTAGTTCTGCATCCTACGCCTCTTCTTTAAAAATTAATTTTGTGTGTAGGGTGTTTTGTCTGCATCTATGTGGGAGCACCACATTTATGCAGGGCCCAAGGAAGAATGAAGAGGCCATCATATATCCTACGACTGAAGTTACAGATGGTTGGGAGCCACCATATGGGTGCTGGCAATTGAATCTGGGTCCTTTGGAAGAATAGTTAGTGCTCTTAATCACGGAGTCATCTCTTCAGCACCTCCCATGCCTCTGAGAGCTCAGCCCTGAAGTTCATCCCTCAGCATGGACACTTTGGAGGACAATCAGTAAAGTTCCAGTTCATTGTGGCTGCTCAGAACTTCTCCCAAGCCTCTTTCCTCCGAAGGCAGATGTCCACTTTCTGAGGTGAACAATAGCCCCCTCAGACCCACAGGCCCATCTCTCTCACTGAATATGAGATATAAGAGACCAAGAGTGTTCAGTCAATGACACAGGTCATACAACAGGGATCTCATATGACTATACCACCTAGTGACACCTCAAGTTTGTGATGTGCACTTTATAATGTCTGCACAATGCTAAAGTTCAGAGTGTGCCCAGCCATTGATGACACATGACTCAGCTCAGAGTCTCTTAAAACCTGACAAAACTTCAATCAAAGCAGAGGTTAAACGGTGTTTGTCCTCCCCCAATGCTGAACTACTCTAGGCCAGGAAGCTCTCGGGCTATGTGCAGCAACAGACTAGAGCAAGCTGCCTCTCTCACCTGCTCAAGAACAGACTCTCAGCTGGGCCTCCTGGGTCTTCAGCACTGGGCTTGCCTACGGTCTTTTTATCTCCCATATTCTCTGAGCTGATGCCATGGGCCCTAGCCTTTTTTGCTTCAATGAGTGTATGAACTTTGGACATTTCCCTCCAAATATAAAGAGGTAGACCAGCGCTTTCTACCTCCAGCAGTTTCACCAGAGCAGCCGGGGACGACAGTCTGGCCAGGTCTGTGGATCTGGGGATCTAGTCTGCAACAGGAAAGAACCATCCAGTGAGTATGTACATCCCACCTGCTGGAGCCAGAAACAACCCTAAAAAGGAGGGACGGGAAAAGCAGACAAGCAGGACTTGAAAATGGCTCCACACCTCTTAGCCAATTCTAAGAACATTTGCACAGCCAGCTAGGCCAGCCGCTGATGGAATGAAAGAACAATTACCAACACCTTTGCCCCAAATAAGAAGCCAGCTCCTCAGTGGTAAGGCAGGGGACAGTTTCGTTACAGAAGAATTAATAATAATTACTCAGGGTAGTCAACACCAAGAAGGAAAACAGGATATTCAACCCACTAAAGCAGTTTTCTTAATGAGTTTTCATTTCCTGATGCAACACTGGGGGTTCACACGGGGCTACAGGCCATCCAAAGTAAAAACAACAACAACAAACAACAACAAAAATAACATTAAATATTAAGACTTTTCAAACTAAAATTAAGAATGTATTTAAAATTATAAATTCACTAAACACAAGATTCATGAATCTCTGTCCAATAATTTAAACACAAAACTCCTATTTTCCTTTAATGTAAGTAGACCATTTTTCTTCCTAATGGCAAAGAAAAATTTGCATTAATCAGTTCATGGTGTAAAGGTCAGCCAGTGAAACCATTTTGTGCTAGACCTCCATCTTAATACCTAATGACTGCTTGCCTTAAACTCAAAATTCCAGAAAGACAGGTTCCCAGAAAACAGCCTTGACTCAGTGACCCCTAACCAGAAATCCACAGCAGAGACCCTCCACTAGTGACGACGACTAACTGCTTTCTGCTTTGGCTTCTGTAACTTGTTTACAGATACTCACAGATTGTTTTGAGTCACACTGATCACTTGACAGAAAAGACCAGATTTTGCTTGCTTGAGTAGATGTTGAAAGTCTTCATGTGCTTTTCGCCCTTAATAAACCTTTCCCAATACCCCTCCTTCAGGGCAATCTCAAACTTGGCTCAGAGACTGTCATCCTGCTAGTAGGTAATCAATTTGGACTGAGTGTATGGTCTTTTCCTGGGGCCAGAAACTCCATAACAATGAACTATCATGAAATAGTTAAATAGATATTAATGAAAGAAAAAAATCAGGATAGTCAAGAAAAGCTTGACTCACGAGTTGACAGCATGTTTATTGTGTAAATCTGTTGCTGGTTTTTCTTTTAGTCTTGGGTTGGACACTTAGTTCACAGCTTTAAAAAAGATAGCTCAGGAGGAGGCAAATCCACAAACCCTAAACAGTCTCACTCTCCTGAGTGGCTCTCAGGTCTGGGCCGGCTTCCCTACCACCACTTCTCAAAGCAAATGTGTTCCTTGGGAACATGGCTGCTCTCCAGTTGCTTAGAGAAAAAGTCCGTCATTGGAGGCGGGCCGCAGATATAGAACAGAGTCTCTGCTGAAATGTGGTGTCGTATCTCCTTCTCCGTTATTCTTCCTTCTACCAAAAAAAGAAAACAAAAGAAACACCAATCAGGCTAGGCACATTTGTATCCTGACCTACAACAGATGGGTGGCAGAGGTCACCTGCAGCACTGTGAGCCTGATCTGCACCATGGTTCACTGTGTGCTGGGTCTCGGCTTCCCAGGCCTACGCAAGCAAAGCAGAAGGCTCATCATCGCCAGTTGCTCTTTAGAGAGAACCCACAAGCTTACCCGCCTTTGTAGAGATGAAAACTGCCTTCAGCCAAGTAAGTAGCTATTTTATTAAGAAATAAATAAAATCCTTTCAGGACGGTAAGATGGCCCAGCACATAGAGGCTTCTACCAAGTCTGATGACCTGAGCTAGATCCCTGAGACTCACAGATGGAAAGAGAGAACCAAGCCCCAAATGTTAAATGTTGTCCTCTGATATCCATACAGAACTGCAAACACACACACATACACACACACACACACTCACAGACACACACACACTTAAAATAACTTTAGCAAAGTATGATGGCTCAAACCTTTAATCTCAGCATTTGGAGAGGAGAGGCAGGTGGATCTTCACGAGTTCCAGGCCAGGTAAGGCTACACAGTAAGACCTTATCCCCAAAACAGTAAAACAAACAAAAAGTAAATAAAAAAACTTTAAGGACTCCTTCCAAATAGAGAAACTGAATAATTTAAATAGCCATAGGTTAGCCATAGGTGGCAAATGGAACTGATTCAATCAAAGCAGGAGTATAATTTATTTGTATATTATAGTCACAATGCCAGGATCTACTAAAAATTGTGAAAAGTACAATTTTAATACGGGCAGTAAGAAACCTATCTATACTAAGCAAATCACAAGTAAGTATTTCTATATGAACTGTCTCAATTCCCCTGGAAATGACATTCCCAGCAAGTGACCCCTAACAGTAAAGTATCTGTGCTTAACCAATTGGCCTGTCTATCCAATTACTGCATAGCTAGCCAATCTCTTTAGAGGACTCACCTGTGATGAATGGTTTAAGCTCTGCACTGATTTGTGTCGTCTGTTTTGTAACATGCAAACTGCATGTAATCTTCTCAGGAAATTCATTTACTAAATCGAGGATATTTTTCTGGAATGTCAAAGAAATTGGGTCAAACTATAATTAAAAAAAAAATCAAACCACAGCTGGGTAGAACGGTCGAATGCCTTTAATCCCAGCACTTGGCAGCCAGAGATAGGTGGGTCTCTATGAGTTCAAGGGCAGTAGGGTCTACATAGCAAATTTCAGGCCAGTAAGGACTAATGTCTTAAAACCACCACCATTCCCCTCCTCTTCTTCCTCCTCCACCACCTCCTCTATCTCTGCCTCCTCCTGGTTTTTGAGGAAGTCTCATGTGGTCCAGGTTAACCCTGAATTTGCTATGTAGCTGGATTTGGCCAGGAATGCCCAGTCTTGCAGCCTCACATGTCCAGGGCTGGGCTTACAGGTGTGAGACACCTTGCCTGGCCGTAGTGTTTTTTCTGTTCCATTAACTTCTAGATTTTAGCTCACTGTGGTGATCTGAATGAGAATGGCCCCAGGCTCAGTTTGAATACTTGTTTTCCTGTTGGTAGAATTGTTTGAGAAGCATTGGAAGTGTAGCCCTGTTAGATGAGTGTCACTGGGGAGGACTCTGAGGGTTCAAAAGACTCATGCCCTTCCCAGGTAGCCCTTGCTGCCTCCTGCTTGTGTCTCAAGAGGTGAGATTTTGGTTCTGCTTCAGCACCAAGTCTGCCTGCCTGCTGCACGATGTTCACGGACTCTAACCCTCTGAAACCAGAACCTCCATGTTAAACACTTTCTTTTATAGGTTAACTTGGTCAGAGCGTTATATCACAGTAACAGAAGAATAAGATGCCCACTAAGACTCATCTTACCCTGACACTTAACTGGAAACATGTTTAACTGCACTGGGTGAAATGGCCTGTTAATTCTCACATGAATTGATTAAGCCTTGACAAGTATTTTATGTGAACCTTTGCAGAGAAATCTGAACCTAAGAAAAAAAAATTCCCATTTATATGCATGCCTATTTATTTTTATTGGTATATATTCATTGTTTAGTGATGGGCATCATAAAGACACTTTCATTGGCGTACACCAAGCACTTCAGCCATATTCACCCCATCCTTCTCCCTTTACTCCCTTTCAATCCCCTAGGCAGTTTCACTTCTTTCTTGTCCTGTTTGCCTGAATGAGTTTTCATTGTTTAGTTAGCATACAAAGTAACAGGTTTCATGATAGCATTTTTATACAGTTTATTTTGATCACCCTACCCACACATACACGCCTCTCCTTCTGTCTTGAGCTCTCATTTGTGTCCTTAAGCCTCAATTGTCCCCTTTGCACGTTATCATTTCATGTCACCTGCTCTTTATGGCCTATACAATTTCCCACACTTGCTTACAGCACCCTGTAAACGTATCTCCCCCTTACCTTAAACAGGAGTTCATTGGTGTTCTTGGCACTGTAGAACAGCTTTATTGCTCCTATCTCATAGCCTCTTCCTTTGTCCGCTTGGTCTCGGTGGAGATCTGCTGAGTGGCGCAGGATGGAAAGCAGGGGGTTAATCCCAACCCCTCCAGCAATCAACACGAGGTTTCGAGGGGCATCTGTGGGCTGAGGGTCAAAGAAGAACTCTCCACCCACTCTGAGCGCCACTTCAGAGTCAAGTGTGCACTGAAGCAAGAAAGAAAAGATCCTTTGGTCCCGTGCAGTACGAGTCTCAGACCAAACATCCTGTTTAGGGGAAGCCACCAGGCTGACCCTCAGCCTGTATTTCAGTATTTAGGACAATCTGCACAACTTGTTTTCAATTCTCCCAGAGCCTGGGACTTCTAGGGCTTGATTCTACTTGTTTACCATGTAGGCTGTTCACTATCCCAACTTTGTGACCCACACAACACAGCCATTCTGGTATTAAAAAAGGGGGACTTGCTTCAGAGATTTTGCCATTAACTTCACAGGTTAGGAGCTAAGCTAACAAAAATGGCAATGGACCCAGGCAGGCAGGCAGGCAGGCACTCTGGGGTATGCACCCCGCACCCCTTTATCAAAGTCCTATTCCATGTTCTGACCCAGGCTGAGAAATGGGCTCTCTCTTCAGATGAGCGCTGCAGGCTTGCACTGGCACTGTGGTACCAGCTGTGACTGCTCACGCCTCCTTCGAGGAGGCTGTTCATGCCAGGAATTGAACCGGGTCCTCTGGAAGATCAGCCAGTGGTCTTAACCACTGAGTCATTGCTCCAGTCCATTAATTCATCTTGCACTCTCTTCTCCATTACACCCACAATCAAGATGAACCTGAACAATGACTCATCTTACAAATAAACTCAGATAGCTTCGCACAGATCTAAGTTGACCCGAATTTTCCAGAATGTGACAAGTATGTAAACTATACTTGGGTGTGTTCACTGTTCTAGAAGACCACATCCCAGGTGGTGACAGGAGTGTCCTTCTGTCACCCACACGGCAAGCCCACACCAGCTGCATTTGCAGACCACGTACTGTGGTATAGAAGTCCTCTGACTGCTTCACTCTACCTTGTAAAGAGTGAAGCTTTCACATGTCCAAACTTGAGTGTGGAAATAAAGTCTTTGATTATGGGTCCCTTTCCTTCCTCTCCTCGGGGGGCAGGGGATTCCTGCTAGCATCGGGTTGTGTATGAAAAGATGTCTGGATTATTGTGGCTCTCAGAGAAGACGCGGTGCTGGGTATGTCTGCCTCTTTGCCTCCCTCTGAAACCAGGATCCGGGAACACAGCCATTTACACAGTGAAAGCACAGTTCTGTCTCCCTGTGAGTTCCTGGCATAGACGGACAGAATTTAGTCACATATCACATGCCTTTGGAGGCTCAAAACCTTGGCATTCAGGCCTTGGCTCCTCTCATACCAGGTGAGCAGTGGACACTTCTGAGCAGGGATTTAATTAGAGGTTCAACAACTTAAATGACCAAACTTATCCCTTGAATTCACAAAGTAAGTCTCGTATTGGTGAAGAATTGTTAAATGAATGGAAATCCTTCCTCAAGGGGAAGAATACCTAACCTTGACTGTGTTGAATATGTAGGAGTCACAGGCTAGCGAGTGGGCTTTCCTTCTGACGGCAAGGGGGCCGCTGGGTCAGAAGAGTGTAACTGTAGCCATGCACTGGTGCATGCACGGCTGCACTGGTGACTGCAGTGCTAAACATGCTCCTCCATCTCAAGGCTTAGAAGAATCCCAAACCTGGGAGGCCCTGCCCTTGCTGCAGCCCTGTCACTGGCATAAACACTTCTCTCCTGTCATGAGAGCCTGGAGCAGAAGAAACTGAGAAACGAGAGAGAAACCTTGTGTGGGACAGTGCCACGTGTCTACCCCCTATGCATTTTTGCTGGTGTTCTGGCCAGATCTGCTACTACTGGCTTCCCTCCTTGCCTTACTTGTAGTTCCCACACATGAGAGTACTCTGCAACCTTTACAAACACAGCAGTGAGAATAAAGTTAGTTCTTGCTTTCTGTTCTCTTTTTGTGACTGTCAATGATTTCCAGAAAAAGAATGAAACAGTACTGAGTTTCTGGGTACATTTGGTAAGCAAGAAAACCCTGAAATAGGATGGAGGTTGTGGGTCAATATAAAAGACATACTATGGTATTGGAAGAAGGGGCAATGAAAAGAAAGAAGGGTCAAAAACTAAAGTTCACTTTGTTCCTGGTGTCCTAGTGGGTAATGGCAGGAGGTGTACACAGGCATGGGGGTAAACCTTGTGAGAAAGCACGAGTTACAAGCAACAGTTAGAACTGGATCCTCTCAGAAGCCCGGATGAAGAGCCTGTGGTGATCAGTGTGGAGCACCAAAGACTCAGCATTAATGACCCCTGAGCACTACTCTGTAACTGCAGGAGATTCCCCTCCAGACAGTAGGCAGAGTCAGTTCCTTCCTTTAGGATGGTCATAGTGAGATTGTTTATGTAACAGGTGATTTTCAAACGTTTGTATAGAATGCTTCCAATCCTTTTAAAACACAGTTCACCAACAAGGTTCTGTTTCTCCACCCTCCCTGGAGAACTCAGTGTGAGTTTGCTCACTGCAAGTTCCTGGTCCTCCCACTGGACGTCTTGCCATTCAGGACCCTATTCTTGCGGGTCTGGGTTACAACTGAACACACATTTAATGGAGGCAGACGGAGATGCTCAGATCTCCAACTTTAAAAGTTAGTTGAGGGGCTAGAGAGAAGCTCAGCAGTTTAGAGCATTCGCCACTCTTACAGAGGCATCAGGTTCCATTCCCAACACCCACATGGTAACCCACAACCATCAGTGACTCAGAGAGAATATGCGCATGGTGTGGAGGCCAAAAAATGCAGGCCCATTTCCACCTCGTCTGCTGGTCAGGTCAGAGAGTTTGGAGATTGACAAGCATATTGCTCCTCCTAGCTCAGGAGACGACTGCTTGGTTCTTTTGAAATTAAGAGAGCTCATTCTAGTAGGTCCATGCCATCCTGCCAGGCGGTCAGGATATGCAAATGTACTTCTGCTCCTTCTTTAGTAACTATGAGGTCACCTCGGGAAGGGTGGTCTTCTTTGCTACCTAGACAACAGAATGTTAATGATTTGATGTCTCAAAGTAATAAAGCCACTGACTGGGTGAGTTATCCTTTGTATTATGTTAATAAAGTCTATGTTGGGTATAAAAACCGTGGAAAAATAAACGCGGGTAGAATTTCAGGATTTCAGTAACTGGAATGCCCTCCCGATACTTTCTATGCTTTCTGTCTTATTATTTCTATGCATCTTCATATTCTTTACTTATATGTCTTCAATTCCCACGCCCCTACTCTGGTAAGAAGTATGTCTGTCGTGGTCAGTCCTCAACAACATGATACACAAATAAGCATGCAGGTAAAATATTCATACCATAAAATTAGATAAAGCTAAGAAAAGGTTTTTCTTAAAAGGTCTTTGCTTACCTTCTTGTGAACCCAGATAGCAGGAGGGTGGTCTGTGTATTTCACTGCCAACTCTATTATTCTCTCTTGTTCTAGCAGTTGGGGACTAGAGCAAATTGAAAACCCACCAACGACGTTGACTCCTGGGATAAAGAAATCAACCCTGAAAGGACAGACAAACAAACCATTCCTGTTGTAGTAGCTAAGAAGACTGTCAACAGCAGGCAAAAAAACAAATGGACAAGATTTTAGTTAGACTAAAAAATATAAACTACTAACTTAATAAAAGATTTGTAACCAATCTTAAACAAAATAAAGAGAATTCTTCAGGAATTTTTCTGAAGAACTGTTATGCTAAAAGCTAACTTACACGAACCACATATTACTTAAAAAGACATCAACTATCAAAAATAGCACAAGAAGAAACAGAAAAACCTCATCAGATCTACATAAACTCAAAGGACTGAGTTAATAAAACGTCACAAAGGAGAGTTCTGGTGGCATCCCTGGTGAGCTGCACCGCACACTTAGAGTAGAACTGATGCCAATCCTCCAGAAACCACCCCACACAAGAGAACAGACACGTTGGAACTTACTCTAATGAAGCTGCTATCACCCTTATATCAAAGACACTGAAAACTACAGACCCAGTGGTTCTCAACCTTCCTATTGCCGTGACCCTTTAACACAATTCCTCAGGTTGTGATGATCTCAACCATAAAATTATTTTGTTACTACTTCATAACTGTAATTTTGCTACTGTTATAAATTGTAATGTAAATATCTGGGTTTTCTGATGTTCTTAGCAATCCCTGTTAAGGGTCCTGACCCACTGCTATGGATCACCATCTATTCAAATAAAGAAAAATTCCAAGACTACAAGGTTGGCTTAACATCTGTCCTCATCATTTTTTTTTTAAAATCATGTTGAGAGCTACGTTCAACGAGAGAATCTTCTCAAATAGATATGCCCAAACTGAAATGACCCAGAATCCTTCTCTTCTAGTGGGGGACAGGTAACCACAGAAGTCCTATCCAGAAGAAAATGTGACACCTCTTATCTTACAGGGAAAGGGAGCCACCACTCACCACTGGCCAGCCTTAAAAGAGAAGTCTTTATCAGCGACAAGCAAACGGAGGCTCTTCACTGATGGAGACTCCTGGGCAATTTCACACACCTTAGCTGTAGCCATGACCTGAATCAGCAAAGAGGTTCGGGGCTTAGAAACACGGAACTGCCCAAAAAGGCAAAGCACACACTGCTCTGCTCTGCCCTCTATCAGGTGGTAAACCACACGAACTCTATGAGATCTCTACAACACTATTTTATTCTGAATACAAAAATCATCCTTACAGGTACTGTGTAACTAGTATCCATCTGAATATTGGGCTAGGTACCGCGAAGAACACTGTGAGTGGGAAGCCCTCAGCCACCCTGCTGGGCATCTACTATCCCCCTCAGTAGTGGGCCAGGTGAGGCCATAGTTGCTTCTGAGGAAGAAGTCCATAGATGCTAACAGCAGACTTTCACAGAAAGCAGCTAGCACTGTTTAAAGAGCAAAGAACCAGTGAGCTGGGTCTGTACTCATGCACTTCCTGCTTTGTGAGCCAGGGACTCACTTTGTAGCTCTGACTGGCCTGGGACTATTTAGGTCAGGTTGGCCTTGAACTCACCCACCTAGCCTTGGGCTGTGATTAAGGTACACCACCCCGACTTGCTTGAATGTTTATTTCTTAATTTTTTTCTAATTTATTATATTTTTCCAAAATATAAGCAGTTCATGACCTTAAATCAAGAACACAGAGCCCTTTCCTACTGGGAGCTTGGGAAGCACCGTTCTCAATGCACTTTCTGAAAACTTCCAAGCGGAGTGACTTGGGAACTAGTCATGAAGGGTAATTCGTCCCTTAGCACCCATCAACTGCAAAAACGTCTTTACTTCCTCTGCTCTGCACCTCTCTTTCTCCCCTAAAGCTGGGACACTGTTCGAAGGGTCGAAGACAGACACAGCTCGCCTCAGATTCCTTCTCTGCAATGCCACCTGGGCAGTGGGCAGATGATCAAATGCAGTCCCTTCAACAGAGGACTCCCAACCAGCCCCACCAGGAGATGCTCTGGAAACTTTCTACCCTGATGCTAGCTCACTTTGGCCTTTTTTTCAACCGGACTTCTAGGCCCAACCAACTCTCAATGGGGAGATGACTTTTCACAATGCAGTAGAAAAGTCTCACTACCTCAACATAGCTCCTAAAGTTTCCATCCTTTGCTGTAAAATGTCTTGCCTTTCTTTCTTTGCATTGTACCTAATCCCTTCTTCTTCCTGTCTTGGAGAATAAGTGGGTGATTTTCTATGGCAGCCCCAAGGACTATACCTTAAAGGGGGCGGGGCAGGGTCTCTCTACACAGCACAGGCTGGCCTGGAACTTGCTATATCTACCTCAGCGCTATGATTACAGATGTGTGCCACCAGGCAATGTCTTTTCTACATATACTGTTGATCCTAACCCTATCTGTGCCCTATACTGCTCTCTAAGCAGCTACCAGCTAGCCCTTTCCTTTCTTTAGCACTTTCCTGTTCATCAGACATGATATACGATGCCACTGGCTTTATCTTGAGCAGCTTAGAAAGAAACTATGGAAAGAAGAGAACACAGCTGCTAAGAGAATGGACTGCAGCGAGATGGCCCCCCACTTTAATTTGGCAACACCGTTGACCACCATGTCACCCAGGGCAAATGTCCCAGCCACTTTCAACTAGGAACTGAAACCAGTAACAACCCTGCCTCACAGTGCTACTGGGGATTCTGACGTCACGAATACAAACAAAAGCACTTCTAATGCTGCTGGCTCATAGTAAGTGCATATTGTTTGTTACCTACTTTATTGCATTAATTTATTTTATATCATATATTGCGCTTCATCCATTTATTATTATATATGCCACTGCACAACACATCCCAGGGGAACTGTGGGCATGGATGACAAGGACCAGTACAACGTGGTGGACTGGAACCACGTATCCATTGTAGCCTATCAATTATTCTATGGGAGCAAACTAGAAAGTCTTTAAAGTATTGCGAAACCTTGCCTTCCATTCCTTCCTCTCCTGAAACGAGTTCCCTTAGCCTACACAATCTTCCTGTCCTTGCTGTTCTTCTGAATCATAGGTAGCCTGGTTTCAGTTTAGTGATGAAATTGCTAACAACCTAGACCTTTGAATAAAGTTTGCTAATATCACTCTAATTTATCTACCCATCTCCACATGCCACAAAAAGAGTACATACATGTTTGCGATCAAAACCATTTTTAATTTACAACTGATGGGATTTCACTTTCAAGAAGGAATCATTAACAAGCTTCACATTTATACAGCCAACACTTTTCGTGTGTTGAAAATCTTTTCAGATTTATCAATGGGAAAAGGATAGTTTTCTATATACCTATAAACTTACTCTGCTGAACTCGTTCTACATCTCAAAAAGAAGACAATCAAAGAAATCAGCGATGACCTTTAGCACCGAGGCAACTCTAAAGGAGAACTAAGTTTTCAAAGTAGGGCCTAGCAACATACCTATATGTTAAAGAGTACCCTGGTATTAACACACACAACTATGGAGGCAATATGCCTGATCATGTTTGTGGAAGTGCATACAAACAGGATTTATCTTGCCTCACATGGACTTCTAATACTAAACTAAATATAGCTGACTATTGCGAAACAACTGAAAAAGTAAAGGCAAGTATTCACTGTGTGTTTTTAAGTGGAAACAGGGTTACTCACTGAGGTAAAGGGTGAGGATCCTCGGCACCCTTCAGCTGGCAGGCTAGCTTTCTATAGCCTGAGTATGACTGACAGTCTGCAGGGGAAGGGCAGTGAGCTCATCCACCTTCCTGTCTCAACTGTCAGTGCTGCTCTGATGAGCTAGGAGGTGCTTCTACAGTGGGGCGAACATGGACTTTGAGACATGATGGCAAAAAAAGAAGAAAAGGTAAGCCATTCGTCATGTGTAGAGGCCCTACAGTTCCCTCTCCTACAGCATGCCCTCAATGTGCCTGTGTGGAGGGCGCTTAGTCCCATCTGTGCCCCCTCACCAAAACAGCCCGTTCACACCAAACTTAGTGGAAAATCTTAATACCGCTCAGCCACTGCTTCCAAATCAGCTATCCTATCCCCTGCTGAGGACATTCCAGGGGAGGAAAATAAAATTTCCCTGATTGTCCCACCATGCCCCAGGGATACAGACCTCCCGTCGGAGGACACTTGCAGTTCTCTCCAAGTGATCAGCTTTCCTTCTAGATTTCATTATGCTTTTTAAAAGAAGGTAAAGATAGATTAGTAAGCATTATCCTCATAACATAACAAAACTAGCTTCCCCTGCCAAAAACCATGGCTATCAAAAATGTGATTAATTTTGGATTTTATAAAATAGCGAACCTCTGACAGTGCTAAAATGCCCACTCATTTCTGATCTGAAGCCAGGATGCTGCCTCTCTTAAAGGACCTCCCAAACCATCAGGAGATCAGGGTTCGAGAATTAACCCAAATGGCAGCAAAGGCCAACAACTCACCTGGTTAGAGTAAGGTGCCGCCAAGTGCTGGCTGTCAATCTCCACGAAGCAGCCTGCGTGTAGATGGCTCCCACAGTGCTGCGAGTCAACCCAGGAATCAAGACAACATGGGCCATGGTGCTCCTGAACAAATGGAACTGAAATTTCAAATCATTTTCAGAGAAAAGTAGAGAAATGCCAGACTATGTTAGGGGCAGTGGCAAAAGACTGTGGGGGCTGGAAAGATGGCTCAGTGGTTAAGAATACTGGCTATTCTTCCAGAGGACCTGAGTTCAATCCCTAGTGCGCATATGGCAAGTAACTCCAGTTACAGGGTATCTGATGCCCGCTTCCGACCTTTGCAGGTACCAACACACGGTACACAGACAAATACACAGGCAAAACACCCATACACATAAAATCAAAGCGCCTACCCACACAATGGAAGAAGAAAATCAATTCCTACAAATTATCCTTTGATTTCCATGTGTATCCCCAGTCTCCCCTCACAAATAAAGAATGAAAGAAATGTAATGAAAAATTTAAATAAAATTGCTTAAGGATTTGGAATGAGTATGGCAGTACATGCCCTTAGTCCTAGCACTTGGGAAGCAGAGGCAGGTGGATCTCTGTGTTTGAGACCAGTTTGGTCTACATACTGAGTTCCAGGACATACAGGGCTATATAGACCCTGTCTCCAAAACAAAACAAAACAAAAAAACATGTACATGTATTGCTCTTCTAGAAGACCCAATTCCCAGCAACTCTATCACGCAGTTCATATCTACTTGTAACTCCAGGAATCCAACTCCTCTGGCTTACACACACACACACACACACACACACACACACACACACACACACACACTCACACCACATATAATTAAAAATGAAAATAAGTCTTTTTCCCGGGGGGGCAGATTTTCAAGACAGGATTTCTCTGTGTAGCCCTGGCTGCCCTGGAACTCGCTCTGTAGACTAGGCTGTCCTAGAACCCGGAGAACAGCTTGCCTCTGCCTTCCAAGTGCTGGGATTAAAGGCATATGCCACTACTGCCCAGCTAAAAATAAAGCTTTTAAGAATTATTATTTATAAAGCTTAAGGTTCACAAATATTTAAAACAAATAGATAATACCATTTATAACAGACCAAACTAGGAACTATCCAAAAGAAACAAAGTGTGATATATTCATGCACTATACGCAGCATCAATGACAAGGAACACATTTTACTTACATGCTGTAATATTCAGTTATGGGCTGCAGGTATCAAATGGCATCAAAGTAGCTAGACTCCAAAGAGTCTAGACAAAAATAATCCAGAATGTTAGAAATCAGTCTTGGAAAGTGTATGGCTGCTGAGTGCCTCAGGAGGACTACTTTGCAAGATCTTCAAACTGTCCTTGTAGCTAGATACTTTCTGTCTGTATGATACACTTCAATAAAAATGAAATAAAGACTCTCAACACTTTACTCTTGTTTTCTTTTTGGTTTTATGAAATCAGCCCAGGCTGGCCTATGAACTTACTATGTTCCCTAATCTGGCCTCAAACGTGGACTCCTCCTGCCTTGCACTGGGTACAGCATGTACCACCACCCTACCATTTTATGTCTTAAAGTCACAAGACGAGTGGGTACGGCACTGATTAAGAGTCAGGCCATTTACTGTGTGGCTCCCATACCACTTTCTTGTGCGATTTAAAAAATACTTCTAGCTGGGCGGTGGTGGTGCAGGCCTTTAATCCCAGCCTTCTGGAGGCAGAGGCAGATGTATCTCTGTGAGTTCGAGGCCAGCCTGGTCTACAAAAGCGAGTTCCAGGACAAGCTCTAAAGCTACAGAGAAACCCTGTCTCAAAAAACCAGAAAATTAAGAAACAAAAAAAAAATATTTCTTAGCCTAAGACACCCACATTTTCCATACTATACCATCACATTGGTTGGCTCTCTCCTAGGGGCTCTGAAAACAAGGTGAATAAAACATGTCTCTCCCAAGCATTTTAGAAGGTGCTAATTGATTGATTAGAAATAGTGTTACAATATTTAAGCCAACAATGAAGCTTTTGCAGTTTTTCATTCATGAAATTTATTAATGGCCAAGCATGAGGCAGGCACTTGCATAAGCTTTGGCGGGGCAGGTTGGAAGAAAGCTTCTGGGAATTTAGGTTCTAATATGTAGAGATAAAACTAAATCAATGAATATACCAGGTGGCGATGGAAATGAGAATTTCTCAAAAGCCACAGCCCCCAAAGTAGTCTCCAGACAGATGGCCTTCTTCCTGTCCCAGCCCCCTTCAGCAGTGAGGAACAGCTGTGCTACTGGCTATGTTCCCAGTGAGTAGGAGAGGTGGAAGGCTTCTGCTACCTCATGAACCCCCCTTAAATATGCTAAACCAAAAGCAGTGTGTTAGTCACTGAAAGCAAACAAGCAGAACTTACTTAGAAACCCATGGGATTCTGGGGGTCCTCAGCTGGCTGACACAGTATTTTGGTCCTGGTACGATACTAAGACCTCTGGATTCACACCAGCTGGAACAGAGCAATTTTCCATATACCAAAATTCCCACAAAGTTCCTGCAATGGCAGAGACAATAAATGGGTAAGTATAAAGACAGGAAACAGAAAAAGCCCCATCAAGTCTCTCTTGCAAAAGAAAAGACTTATTTAGATTTGACATGTGAATCCCCGTAGTAGTGTTTACTTGACACACACACAGACCCTGGGTTTGAGCCCCAGCACCAAACTGAAGGGAGGGACTTTCATTGCGATGAGAGGTCCTCACTCTCAACTACTCCCTGCCATCAACCCTTCCCCCTTTGTGACCATTTCTTTTTATTCCTCATCTGCTGCTTCTTGATATTTCATGGTCTGAGTCCAACTCCTGCAACTTAGGGGACCCACCCCATGAGATACCCTCCGCACGGCTGCATCCAACTGTCTGTGGATGTCCTTCCTGTCTGATCTCAGGTAGTTCCCCTTATGGTTCTGCCCAGCTTGAGCTGGTACTGTGCTGAAGAAAGTAAAATTTTAGTCAACAGCTAGAAAAACAGTTATAAGACACTTAGGATCAAAGTCTCTATCATTAAGTTCATCCTCCGGTGAAAGGTGGACATTGTTCCACTAATATTTTAGACAACAAAGCTAAAAAAAATGCTTTTACAATACAGTATACCTTTAATGACTACACTGTTTAAAACAGTCTACTTCGACAGATTCAACGCAATGCCCATCAAAATCTCAAAATCGTAGCAAAATTCTTCAAAGACCTTGAAAGAATGGTACTCAAAGGCCGGGCGGTGGTGGCGCAGGCCTTTAATCCCAGCACTCGGGGGCAGAGGCAGGAGGATCTCTGTGAGTTCAAGGCCAGCCTGGTCTACAAGAGCTAGTTCCAAGACAGGCACCAAAAACTACAGAGAAACCCTGTCTCGAAAATCAAAAAAAAAAAAAAAAAAAAAGAATGGTACTCAAATTCATTTGGAAAAGCAAAAAACCCACGATAGCCAAAACAATCATGTACATCCTGGAGGCATCATAACCCTGACTTCAAACTCTACTACAGAGCTACAGTACTGAAAACAGCCTGGTACTGGCATAAGAACAGACAGGAGAACCAATGGAACCAAGTAGAAGACCCAGATATCAATCCACACATCCTCAAACACCTGATCTTTGATAAAGAAGCAAAAAATGTCAAATGGAAAAATGAAAGCATATTTAACAAATGGTGCTGGCATAACTGGATATCAACATGTAGAAGAATGAAAATAGACCCATATCTATTACCATGCACAAAGCTCAAGTCCAAATGGATCAAAGATCTCATCATAAAGGCAGCCACACTGAACCTTATAGAAGAGAAAGTGGGAAGTACACTTGAACGCATTGGCACAGGGAACCATTTCCTAAATATAACCCCAGCAGCACAGACACTGAGAGAAACAATTAATAAATGGGACCTCCTGAAACTGAAAAGCTCTGTAAAGCAAAGGACCCGGTCAACAAGACAAAATGACAACCTACAGAATGGGAAAAGATCTTCACTAACCCCACATCAGACTGAGGTCTGATCTCCAAAATATACAAGGAACTCAAGAAAATGGATACCAAAAGAACACATAATCCAATAAGACCTAAACAGAGAACTCTCAACAGAGGAATCTAAAAGGGCTGAAATGACACTTAACAAAATGTTCAGCAACCTTAGTCATCAGAGAAATGCAAATTAAAACAACTCTGAGATTCCATCTTACACCTGTAAGAATGGCCAAGATCAAAACCACTGATGACAACTTATGCTGGAGAGGTTGTGGGGTAAAGGGAACACTTCTGCATTGCTGCTGGGAATGCAAGCTGGTACAACCCCTTCGGATGTCAGTGTGGCGATTTCTCAGAAAATTAGGAAACAACCTTCCTCAAGACCCAGTAATACCACTTTTGGGTATATATCCAAAGGATGCTCAATCGTACCACAAGGACATATGCTCAACTATGTTCACAGCAGCTTTGTTTGTCATAGCCAGAACCTGGAAACAACCTAAATGCTCCTCGACCGAAGAATGGATAAGGAAAATGTGATACATTTACATAATGGAGTACTACACAGCAGAAAAAATAATGACAGCTTGAATTTTGCAGGAAACATTATTTTGAATGAGGTAACCCAGACACAGGAAGACAATTATCACATATACTTACTCATAGGTGGTTTTTAAACATAAAGCAAAGAAAGCCAGCCTACAAACCACAATCCCAGAGAACTTAGACAACAATGTGAACAATGTTGTAAGAGAGACTTACATAGAACTAATCTACATGGGAAGTAGAAAGTAGAAAAAGACAAGATCTCCTGAGTAAACTGGGATCATGGGGACCTTGTGGGAGGACTGAAGGGGAGAAGGGAGAGGATGGGAGGGGAGCAGAGAAAAATGTAGAGCTCAATAAATATCAATAAAAAAGAATATAAATTAAAAAAGCCAGTCTATCCACACAGCTGGCAAACTAAAGAAAGTTAATTTTCAAAAGCTGCTCTTTATCAAAGACTAATTTTTTAACAGTACCATGATCAACAGTGTCACCTACTGGCAAATAAAGGCATTTTTATAAAACTGTGCTCAACTTGCCTTCTAAGCTTTATTCTAGTCCTTAGAGTGTGTATGTGTGTGTGCATGCACACACGTGTGTGTATTTATTTAAATCAGACTGGCAACCGGTTCTTTATAAAATTGTGTTCAATTCACCTTCTAAGCTTTATTCTAGTCCTTAAACTAAAGTGTATTTGTGTGTGTGTATTTATCTAAATCACACTGGCAGGCTGGTTCAGTGGGTAAAGGTGCCTGCTGTCAAGCCCTAGAAGCTGAGCACGAGATGGGTACTGCCACAATTAAAGGGATGGGGGATAAATATGACAGAAAATAGGAGCAATGAAATGTGTGGGTGAGGGGTCTTCGTAGAGGCCTCTCGGGGTGAGGTCCACTGAGCCCAGCGCAGCACCCAGAGGCAGCTGGGCAGACATGAAGGGGCGAACACTACAGCAGAGATCTTGGCAAGAACAAAGCCTAAGAAGAGCCAGGGCCAGTGTACCTGGAGAACAAGCTGGGAGACAGTGACAGGGAGATGTCTACCTAAGTGTGTCCTGGGTCACAGCAGGCCAATGTAAAGTTATAAACCTCACCTGATGGGCACGAGAAGCAACTGAAGAACGCCAGTCAACCAGAAAAAGGACATGATGTGAGATAAGTGATTAGATTTTTAAGACTGCCTGGGTTGAAGCAGGAAGTTGGACTTAGTCTAAGATTCTGGTAGAGCAGTAGTAGCAGAGCTGGCAGAATGGACAGTATAGAAAATGTTTGGATATCTGGGCCCTGCAACTTCCTGTACCATCCCTGCTGGTTTCCTCTCATTCTGCTTGAACTGGATCATACAGAGCAGAGTTATTCATTAAGAGTCTGGTTCTAGGATCAGAAGGATCCAACTCGATGCCATGACTTTCCAGCTTTGCCTTAGCTAATTCTTCAGCCCATAAACCTCATTTCCCAATGCTAAAGATACAGCCTATCTGTACCCTACTGTGTTATTTGAATGACACAATATGCATAAGCATTTCAGAAACACAGCATCAACTACCATAAACAATTGGCTCATTACTTTCTCTTTTTAAAATAACATATATGCAAATGATTAGTTGAGAAATTACAAAGAAAAGCTAGCTGGCCCCTGGCGGTGTTATGAATAGCTATGGCCTCCATAAACTCATGTGTTTTGAATAGCTGGCCCATAGGGAGTAGCGCTATTATGAGGTGTGTCCTTGCTGGAGGAAGTGTCACTGTGGGGGAAGACTTTGAGGTCTGATATGCTCAAGCTACATCCAGTGTGGCTCACAACTACACTCGCTGTGGCTCAGCCTCCTTCTGCTGCCAGCAGATCAAGATGTAGAATTCTCAGCTCCTCCAGCACCATGTTTGCCTGCATGCCGCCATGCTGATAATGGACTAAATCTCTGAAACTGTAAGCCAGCCTCAATTAAATGTCTTCCTTTATAAGAGTTACCATGGTCATGGTGTCTCTTTACAGCAATAAAACCATAGCTAAGACATCCCTGTAACTTCAAGTCTTAAGATGACCAAGAAAATTGTTTTGATGGGTCTGAATTGATTTCTAAAAGATCAAGACTTGGGGTGTAGCTAAGTCAGAAGAGCATGTATTTAGCATGCATAAACCCAAGGTTTGATTCCCAGTACCAGTAAAAAAAATGTTTTTAACATTTATTTTATTATTTAAGTTTGCCTACATGTCTTGTGTGTACCATGTGTGTACCTGATGCTTATGGAAGTCAAAAAAGGAAGTTGGATCCCTTGGGACTGGAGTTACAGACAGTTGTGTGCCTCAATGTGGGTACTGGGAATGAAACCCAGGTCATCTAGCAGAGCAGTGCCAACTGTCCAGCCTCATTTTCTTATTGTTTTTCTGTATATGGGTTTTTTCCCTGCATGTACAGCTGTGCACCATTCCTGGTGCCCTCAGAGGCCAGAAAAGGGTGGTGGAGGCCCTGGAACTGGAGCTACAGTTATAAGCTTAAGTGTAGGTGCTGAGAATTTAACCTGGGTCCTCAGGAAAAGCAGCTAGTGCTCTTAACTGATGAACCATCTCGTTAGTCCTTTGTTTTTTTTTTTAAATAATAGGCCTAACAATTTATACATACTATGAGCCAAATATGGATGCAGCCAATCATGTGTATGCCTGTGTGTGTTCATTCTCCATTGTATTGTTTGAGCTAGTCTCTCCCTGGACCTGGAGTTCACCAACTGGTTGGCCACTGTGCTCCGGAGATCCACCTGTCTCCGTGCCTGGGCCCCTCTTCCCATCGGTGCTGGAGATCCATATACTTTACATGCCAAGCCGTCTCCCGACCCACAACTACATCCATTTCTGCACATTCAAGAATGCTCATAAGAACTAAAGTTGGGTTCCAACCGTGATCATCTGAACTAAATATAGACACTGGAAAGTCAGTTATTTCCTGTGTCCCAAAGGCTACCTGGGAAATATTTGTGTTTATAAAGATACAAGACTGCCACAGAATTTCTCCTTTGCCCAGACAGGCTACAGTTAACCCTCAACAGGCTACAAATATCTCCTAATTGCTATGTAAGTCTCTAGTTATGAAAAAAAGAAGTGAGATCTTTGAAATAACCTTCCATATACTCATTTAATGCAATGTCTGGATTTTACCTCCCAAAGACTTCTCTGCCTTTAGAACTTTAAAATGTAGTGTCCTTTCAGTGTGCACAAGGTTGGTAACTTACGCAAACCGTATGTACTTAAAAGTTAAGTGTAAGTTATAGAAATGTAGGCTACATAAGCCATACCTGAGTATAGTATAACAATATAAGTATATAGTATAACTATTAATTCCCGCGCAAAACAATATTAGATTTCAATCTTTTCTCAGAAAGGAAGAACTAAAGAATGCAAATTTCCAACTCCGAGAGCCCATCAAGTCAGACTCGGGTACAGGATCTTCTTCTGCCACAGTGGTTTTTCACCACACTGCACTCCTCCAGTGAGACCTGAGTGAGTGAGATCCTAGTAACACAGCAATGCTCCAAAGTCCCTGGTTGGAACCAAAACAGGCCCAGCACTGCTTTCAGGACAGAGGTCTTTCTATTTGCATTTTGCTTCTACCTTCAAGAAGTTGCATGTGACAACACTACCAGGAAAACCATTAATTTTTTTTCTTTTCTTTTTTTTTTTTAATACCAAGAACTAAAGTTCACGTAAATAATTTGTTCCTGGACTTTGGAGACAGCCAGGTCCCTCATTATGCCTAGATATGTAATCTTGGGCAAGATGCCTAGTCTCTGAATCTGGGTTAAAGATAAATAAAATGGAGTTTTGAACCCCAGGATCAATAGAATTACATTTAGCGCACTGGGTGACCCGCTAAAATCCCCAATAATTAAAAGTGATATTATCGCTACTGCACCTATCACTGTAGTGAACATTGCAAATAAGGCTAGAACTCGTCCCTGTCTTACAGATCTTGGTTCCCTACAACACAGCTCAGGGTGTCTGAAGGTGGCCTGGGTGAGACAGGCAGCGAAGTACCTGCAGGCAGGAACTACAACAGGCCGCTCAAGGTCGCCTGAAACGCAATTCCAGAAGAGCTGTGTGTCAACCACCGTGGAGGGCTGGAGAGGACGCTGCCTGCGTGGCTCCCTGCGTCTCAGTGACGAGGCGCGGCCATCTAATAAGGGCCGCAGCTTCCAGTCAACTCTTGAAAGATTCTCTGAAGTCAGCGATGGAGGACGAGACTCCAGACGCCAGGAAACTAACTACTGGTTCACGGCCCAGGCCCAAACTCCCCGGGCCCCGGAGTGACGTAGAATCCGCGAGCGAGACCCCTCATACTATTGGTCATTGCCATCCAGTGGGCGGAGCGATGAGCAACCCTGCTGCGCAGGAAGCACCATCTTGGGCCACTAAGCGCCCAAGCTCGGCTATCTCCAAGGCGACCGCGACCCGGTCACCCATTTGGCCGTGGCGTCGGAGGTACGTCATCTCCTTGCGCCCTCCCGGAAGTGATTGTCCCTGCTGCCGGGTGGGTCGGGACGCCAGACTTTCTGTGCCCCGGCGGAGTTAGGGGCACTGATGCAGTTTCTGCTCGGTGACCATGGCGGTGTTTCACGACGAGGTGGAGATCGAGGACTTTCAATATGACGAGGACTCGGAGACTTATTTCTACCCCTGTCCCTGTGGGGATAACTTCTCCATCACCAAGGTATCCTTAGGGCCCGCCGGCGACTCCGTGCTTGCGCATTTTCGCTTCCGGTGTCTCTGGCAAGCCTCAGTCTCTCACGTGTTCTTCTGAACCCCCGCCCCTAAAGTAGTAACAAGCTGTCAGGGGTACACGGTCTGGCTGGGGGCGCAGTTCTCCCTAGCCCCATCCTTAAAATCTCCCCCCACCCCCCACCCCGGAGCTTCTTTGAGAAGGGAACTCGATCTTGTACCCCAGGGTTTTGGAGTAGATTGAATCAGAGGTGACACTTGGGGAAAAGTTCTTTGCGTTATTACCCAACCCAAGACTTGCACATAGACATGGGAGAGGTTTGTGGGAAGATGACGGAAGGGAAGCTATGCTGACCGTACGTTGTTTGATTTCGTCGTAGGAAGACTTGGAGAATGGAGAAGACGTGGCAACGTGTCCTAGCTGCTCTCTCATTATAAAAGTGATTTATGACAAAGTAAGGGATACATTAAAGGGGGCGGTGGTGTGAGATGATGACAAAACCTTAGAGCAGCCTGTCTGATATAAAAGTGCAGAAGAGTATTGGGTTTTTGGTTTATTTGGGGGGTGGAGGTGGGGTTATTGTTGTTTGTTTGTTTTTTTGACACAGGGTCGTTATATAGCCCTGGCTTTCTTGGAACTCGCTATGTAGACCAGGCTGATTTTGAACTCATAGAGCTCCCCCTGCCTTTGATTCCCAGTGCTGTGTTTAGAGGTGTGAGCCATCACTCCCGGCCTAGACGACTGTTTTCTTAACTTTATGCTAGACCAAGGGCTATTTTAAAAAAGCTTTAAAAATGGTCAGTACATAGCTGTATGATAATGTTGTTCACGTTTAAATTATGTAACGTGTTCACTTTGGAAAGGCAATTGATCTATAATGAAAATCTAGTGAAAAAGACTTAATCAAGAATGAAAAAATATGAAGGTATTTTAGTCGATGTTCTTTCTTTTGACATTTCCCATGTATTTAATATTTAGTTGTTTAGAGCTGCAGGACATTTCGAAAGACTGCATTTTATTGCTTGCCTGGTTTATGCATACAATCAACATTATCTTGTTTGAGATTTCTCAGATTCCTACCTGTGATTTTACAGTTTCATGTTAAATTTGTTCCTTCATACCCAATGAGAATGACTGTAGGAAGGGGTAAATGCTTTTATGCCCCACCCAAAGTGCAGTTAATGTTTTGGAGTCTTAAGTAAGGAGCTTAACAGTCTTAAGGATGAACTCTAAAATGAGTTTAGGGTGAATTAGCCCAGAGCAGAGAGCTATGTGAGAAGCAGGCTTTAGTTTAGACAATAATGTAGAACTTTAATGATTCATTCTTGAATTAAAATGGTCTCTGGTACGAAGAGCAACAAGGACAGACTAGGGGCTCACTCCTTGGGAATCACACTGTAGATATGCAGAGTTCTTGTGGTAGCTGGCATCAACCAGAATAAAAGACCAGAGACTGAGCTGGGGGTCGTGGCCCATACCTTTAATCCCAGCATTCAGGGGGCAGAGGCAGATAGAGGTCTGTAAGTTTGAGGCCAGCCTGCTCTATAGAGAGAGTTCTAGAAAGGCTGGGATTGTTAAATAGAGAAACTCTGTCCTGAAAAGTCCAAAAAAATAAAAAATAAAAAAGACCAAAAAGCCAGCTCCCTGCAAAAAAAGCAAAAGCAACAAAAACAAACCCAAAATAAAGATCAGAGACTGAACCCCATTTTCAAATTAGATATTATTTCAGGTCTGTGTTGAGAAACACAGAGACCTATTTTTTTTTTTTTGTTTTTTTTGTTTTTCGAGACAGGGTTTCCCTGTGGCTTTGGAGCCTGTCCTGGAACTAGCTCTGTAGACCAGGCTGGTCTCGAACTCACAGAGATCCGCCTGCCTCTGCCTCCCAAGTGCTGGGATTAAAGGCATGTGCCACCATCGCCCGGCTACAGAGACCTATTTTTAAAGAGGCTACATATTTGAATGATCAGGCAGATATTGAACTGATTAATGCAAAACCTTAAAAGATGTGACACGTTAATTTCTGGGAAGTGGTTGCTTTCTAGCAAGATGGGCTCGTTTATAAGACATTGCTTATTAAATAATGAGTTTAGGACTAAACTTCAACATGCTCTTAATTCTCATTCTAGTGCTGACACCACAAAAATGAAATGCTGTAGGGTCTGGAGAGCTGGTTAGTGGCTAAGAGCTTCTGAAAAGGCCTGGAGTTCCATTTCTGTCACCCACCCTGGTGGCTCAGAGCCACCTGTAACTCCAGCTCGAGGGAATCTGGTGATCTCTTCTTTGCCCCGCCCACACACGTGGGGCAGGACATAAACATAAGTGAAAATACAATAAATCTTGAAGGTGTTCCTTTGCCTCAAATTGTGTCACAGAGATGGCTGCTAACATCTAGTGTAGAGCAAGGGTCCTGCTAACACTGTACAATGGACAACAGCTTTTAATCTGAAGTCTTAGATTTTTTTAAATTTTTTGTTGCCATTTTTCTAATACTATAAATAGATTTTTCCTAAATTTCACATTTGATGTTTTTATTGCTAGCATATAATAATAATAGTAATGATAATAATAGAAACAAATAATATAGCAGTGAAGAAGATGTTAATGCATTTGTGCAACAGACACCTGGTGGCTAATAGCCTTTCTTCTTCTGTCTTAGGATCAGTTTATGTCTGGAGAAACAGTCCCAGCACCTTCAACCAACAAAGAGTTAGTTAAATGCTAAAGAAGCCCTCAGGGACCCACATCCTGGGCAGCAGGCAATGAGCCCAGGTGAACGGATCAAGCGCTGAGTGAGCCCCCTCTCCACAGGACAACTCTCTGGGGCTTGCTCTTCCGAGGGTGGGCATCATCATCAGCTGCTGAATTCTTCATAAGAAATGAGCCCGTGACGTCAGCCCTGGATTTCGTGCTTACACGGCATTAGAAGGATTCCTGATTGTCCATCTGAATTTAAAGGAAGAGCCTTATGATCTGGCACTTTTTCTTTCTCCTGGTTGCACCATTTGAACATCTTAAAACTAACTCATTTTTCTGAAAACAACATTATCCACTTCAATCCTGAGGTGTTTTATTTTTTTTTAAAGATTTACTGTTTTATTTTTATTGTGTGTATATGTGTGTGTGGTGTGTGTGTGTGTTGAGTGCAGCTGTTCAGGAAGGCTGGAAGCATCGGGTCTCCTGGAACAGGAGTCGCAAATGGTTGTGAGCCACCGACATGGGTGCTGGGACCCAGACTTGGGTCCTTGGAAAGCACTACACGGTCTCAAACTCTGAGCCATCTTTGCAGCCTGCAGGCTCCTTATTTTGATGGAGCTGCGGAGCTGATTCAGACGAGGCCTTTCTCTGTCATTGTTGGAAACCTAGGGGAATCTGTGCCTTTCCTGCTGCTGTGCTCTGGCTCCTTTGGCAGCCAGCCGCCCTGATCTTGCTGCGACTGCATTGTTGGTGTTTGCAGTCATTCCTGTTGCTCTTCATGCACAGAGTTCAGTCATAGAATTGACTGTGAGGCCAAGGTTTCTCTGTAGCTTCCAGTTAGTGACTGAGGAGGGCCAAGCTAGAGGGAAATGGTAAAAGGAACAGCTCCTGATACTTGGTGCATCCCTTATGTTAGGACAGGAGGAAAAGAAACACAGCCAATGGAGGAAAACTGCTGTCATTGCAAGGCGTGAAGTCTGGCAACTTGGCAAATGAAAGTACATGAATAATTGTTCCAGGCTGGAGCAAGCGTTTCTGTATCTGGGCCTTTAGTTCTTGAGGTGACCAAGGGACCGCATTTCAGATGGGTTAGGTTGAGTCTTCACATAGCAGCATTTGTAACATGTCACGGCCTGTGTGACCACTAGTCCTCATAAGTGACACCTCCATGGCAGAGCATGAGGGCACGCCTAACAAGCCTGCACATGATGAGAAGGAGAAAACCTTCCCTCGCTGTGGTCTGAGAGTTTCTGTAAACACAGCTTTGCTGTGAATGCATAGACTTGAAAGTGTACTGGTGTCCAGCAGATTGATTGGGGCGTGGCTCCTGCAACTGAAAAGGCCAGTAGGGACTGGAGAGAAGGCTCATGTTCAGTTCCCAGTACTCGCATAGTTCACGGCTGTCTGTTACTCCAGTTCCTGGGGTTCTCATGCTTTCTTCTGACCTCTGCGGACACCAGGCATGCATGTGGTTACACATACGCAGACAAAACACCTATACAACTAAATAAAATTCTTTTTTAAAAAGAAAATAGCCAGCCGGGCGATGGTGGCGCACGCCTTTAATCCCAGCACTCGGGAGGCAGAGGCAGGTGGATCTCTGTGAGTTTGAGACCAGCCTAGTCTACAGAGCTAGTTCCAGGACAGGCTCCAAAGCCACAGAGAAACCCTGTCTCGAAAAAAAAACCAAAAAAAGAAAAGAAAATAGCCAATAAATATGTTGTACCCACTCAATGGAGGCTTAAATTAAAATATGTAACCGGGTTGTTTTTTTTAACCAGTGAGTAATGTACAGTTCTAGGTAGCCATTAGGCTGAGGCAAAGTAAGTTAAAAGCTTCCAGAAGTGTGTTGTACATCTTACATTACAGTTCTTTGTTTTTTGTCAGGCGGGGATGTGTTGAACCTCGAGCCTTGCACGTGCTGGGCAAGTGCTCTAGTCCTGGTTTGGGTCTCCAGCCAGGACATTTTTAATAGGATAGGAAATCTTACCACTCTTTGATGCTCCCCATGTGATCTTAGAGAGCAAAGCCACTGCTCAGATGGACAGAGCAGGGTACTGCTGAGCACGGGCTACACGGAGACTGTCCTGTGCTCAGAGCAGTGGTTGTGGAGATTCCACTAACAGACTCTGCTGTGAGCACAGGGTAGCAGAACAGTCTGATTTGAGACACCTCAGGAGGGAAAAGCATGAGCAGACTGCCGGCCAGTGATTGGTTGAAGTGGGTGTGGTTTTGTCCTTAAAGCAACTGAGCAAGTCTAAAAACTACCAAAGGAATACCAGCTATTAGTCCTGTATTAAACAGAAAAAACTAAGGCCATTCAAATATGACTGGACTCCCAAACATTTCCGAAACTCTGTAAGTGGACTCCCAAACATTTCCGAAACTCTGTAAGTGGACCGGCTGTGTCTTGAGCTCTGTAGGCTTTGCCAGTGCCTACAGATTTCTCGTCTGTGCGGTTGGGATGGTCAGATGATCTCTCAGCCATCAGTTCTCATTGCCAGGACTCAAACCTTTATAGACTCCCAACCATCATGAATCATAGCCAATGGAAGCTCCACTCTTCTCCCATAGCATTATACTTGAGAGCTTGAAAAGTTTTAAGTCAAGCCAGGCAGTGGTGGCTCACACCTTTAATCCCAGCACTCGGGAGGCAGAGGCAGGCGGATCTCTGTGAGTTTGAGGCCAGCCTGGTCTACAAGAGCTAGTTCCAGGAAAGGCTACAGAGAAATCTTGTCTTGAAAAACAAACAAGCAAACAAAAGTTTTAAATCAGTTTTTCAAAGGATTCTGCACTTAAGTTTGCAACACATTCATATACAGCCAACAATTTTTTAGACTTGTATGTATTAATTTATTAGAATGATTTGTATTTTGCTAGGCTAATAAAATGAGATCATGCAAATTCATATTTTCGTGAAGCTCTTTTTCCTCCAAATACCAAAATTTTACATTCAAGGTTTTTGGTGTCGTGATTTTACGTAAGATAGAACTCTTAACTTTGGGCCATTGTAAAGTTCCTAAAACGGTGCTTCGGTACTTTCGCAGGGGATTTTTCATAGCAGGAGCAGAAAGGGGTGTCTTAGGGTTTCTATTGCTGTGAAGAGACACCATGACCACGGCGACTCTTACAGAGGAAAACATTTAGTTCACTTAACTGTTCAGAGGCTCAGTCCATTATCATGGTGGGACATGGCAGTATGCAGGCAGACATGGTACTGGAGCAGTAATTGAGATTCCTACATCTTGCCGGAAACAGGAAGTGGGCAGTATCATGAGCATATGAGAGACCTCAAAGCCCACCCCTACGATGACACACTTTCTCCCACAAAACCACACCTCCCATAAATACCACTCCCTTTGGAAGTCATTTTCTTTCAAACCACCACGGGGATGAGGGTGAGGGGGGTCAGTTTCAGGTTAAACTAAATATGGCTCTAGCTGAGCTAAGAGGGAGGGACCTTTGCTTTGTCAAAGGCCTCCCTACTTTTATTCCTGGCTATAACCAGAATATGATTTAATAGAATGTTTAATATTGATGGTTGTTGAGGAGAAGGTAAATGTATTCTATTGTTTAGAGTGGGTTGTGCACATAGTACATGCAGGTAATGGGCTTGGGTGATCATGTGCACTGTTAGAAGAGGGGTTGGCACGGCCCAAACTCAAGTCCAAAGGTTGCTACGCTATTCCCTGCGCTTGCTTGTCTCACGGACAGTAGTACTCTTAGATAGGAATTTGCTGTTTTTTCTAGTTTGATGATTTGGATTTGGACTCTGGGCTTTCTTATTGTTAGTTGAGGAATATAGTTTTGAGTCTAGTGTCAGTAAGGCAAAGAGGGTTGGTGCTCTTACAAGAGTAGTTGAGCTGATGGCTGGGAAAGAAGGCTGATGCTTAAGGCCAATGAGCAAACCTCGTTGTGAGAAGCCAGCTGTGGAAAGAGTAGACAGGTGTTCTAGTTATTGCTCTGCTGCTGGAATAAAACACCACGACAAAAGGCAACTTAAGGGAGGGTTTATGGTTTATGGTCTCAGAGGGAGAATTCAGAATAGTGGAGGAGACATGGCAGTAGGCAGCCAGAGCAAGAAGCTGAGAGATATTATCTTAAACCACAAACTCAACAAAGCAGAGTGAACTGAAAGTGGTACTCTCAAAGCCTGTCGGCAGTGACATGCTTCCTCCAGCAAGGCCAAAGCACTACCAGCTGAGGACCAAATGTTCAAATGCCTGGGGCTAAAAATACCAATCAAAACAAAGTATTATCTTTGTCTTCTTGGCTCTTTGTTTTGTTGTTTTTCCGGAAAGAAAAAGAACAAGAAATTAAGTGGGTAAAAAAGTGGGAAGAGCTGGGAGGAGTCGAGGGAAGGGACATCACGATCAAAATATAGTGTGTAAATTTTTTTCATTAAAAACAGAAAATAATAGCCTGGTGGTGGTGTAATGGATTAATTAAAATTGCTGCGGATCCCCAAGTGGCTGCAGCAGCAGAAACACTAGAGGCCAAGAGGCGGCAGTGGGTAGTGGGTCCCGAGAGCAGTCAGTCTCAGGTAGGGACAGCACACGAGACCACGCTGCAGGTCTCTGAAGGGCATCTGGTCTCCGGCAGGGAACCACGCAGCTGGCGAGAGACAGAGACATGGATAGGCACGCCATGCAGAGTGAGGTTATTTTTAAATGGTCACGCCTGCTTTGCACGTGGAACAATCACATGGCCTCAGCCACACACATTGCATGTCAGCCTGCAATGGAGTTTTACCAAGAGCCAGCAGGACCACTGAGGCTGAGCTGATGTTCACAGTGGGAGAGTCTCTAGCTGAGTGGCCTCTGGCTCATGTCCTTAGGTGCCATTTGTCAGGGATCAGCCTCAACAAAATTACCTCTCGCCAGGGCAGAGGCGTGCGATTTAGAAATCACTCATACACAAGGGTACAAAGCTGGGCATCACCCCCACAATACACAGCAATAAGTTAATAATTCCAATGTCTGCCGTAAGTATCCACAGGAAGGTATTCACATCAAAATTGAGATGCAATACGCGGGGTGGGGGGTATCTAGGCCAAGCTCCTGCTCTTCTTCCTAGTTGCTGGATGAGTCACATCCAGGGTTTGTTGTCCTGATCCCCTGATGTGTCTCATTTGTGTCCAACAATGTCCTATCTAGATGCTTTCGGGAAGGCAGCTCACACTTTGGTGTAGCAGATACCACCATAGCTAGAACCTCGAACTTTTGATCTTGAACAAACGTCTCCTAACACGTAGTTTAGATGCTCCTAGCGGAGTGTAATCTACTGATGGTTGGTCCATCTGGCTTGATTAAGTGTCCTCCACACTATGCTGAGTTACAGGAGGTAGGGGGCAAAAACTAA